TGTTAAATGACACATCATTATATTTCATTTGAACACATAACATAACTAAAGGACAGTTATTTTACTTCATATCTACACTGAAAACCCCACTTCCCTTTGTGTCCTACAATTTTATTCCATTCCTCTTCTAACTGTCCCCAGATTCCATTAGGTTTTTCACTTGCTTCGCTCATTATTACATTATGTGGTCATTAATGCCATCTAGTGGAAACACAAAATAATGAGAAGTTTAGGGCTTAAAAAAGCCATTAAAATAAAGGCAAGCAAAAGCCTCTCTCTGCTGTAACAAATCATAAGTACCTACCTCACCTAACATAATCATATGGGGACATAGTGGGAAAAGGTGGGAAATCTGAGTCAATGGAGTATAAATAATAGAAATATTGCCTGGAAATCTGGCTGAAATGTTGGCTAAAAAAATAATCTTGCTGGGCACAGGGCACATGCTTGTAATCCCAGCAACTCAGGAGGCTGAGGCAGGAGGATCACAAATTTGGGGCTAGCCTCAACAATTTTACAAGACCTTAAAGACAGACCCTGTCTCAAAATAAAAATTAAAAAGGACTGGATATGTAACTCAGTAGTAAATAGTAGTAGTAGCTTAATCCTTAGTACCAAATAAACAAAAACTCTTGATATTTTGGGCTTTAATATTAAAAGTAAAAATATTAATCACTGTCACTCATGTATGAATTTAATTCATGGACAATATAGGTAAGAACCTATAAAAAAGATTCTGCCAAGAGAAAATAGACAACAGAGGCAGAAAAGCTCAGGTATTGAGTTTCAATTCTGCTTCACCTATTTAACACCCCTTATTTAATCTCCATGAACTTCTGTTTCCCATTTCTGAAATGAATGTCACCAAATTCCAGAAATTTTGTAAAGATTAAAACAGATAATACTAATGCTCAGCCAGGTGTATAGCTCTGTGGTAAAGTACTTGCCTAGAATTCAGGAGGCTCTGGGTTCAATCCCCACCCCATCCCCAAAACCAAAAACAACATATCCCCAGACTTATTAAGAGAAATAAGAAGCTCTGAAAATTATAATCTTGACAATAATACTGTTAATAGTACCAACAATAAAAAATAAAAGTAATGTGTCTCAACGAATCTACCTCAATCTTTTTTGATATTTTGGTGGGCTCAGATTTGTAAAGTCTAAGAATAT